GGTGAGCAATTAGGGTCACATAACAATGTATGTATAGAATTTTGTATGGGAGACTAACTTGAAACGTAAACTTCATTTAACTACAACAATTAAAAAAAAAAAAAAGACTGTCGTTTAAAAATGGTCTTCCCTACACATACATACATAGATATGCACAGAATATCTCTGGAAGAATACACAGATACCATTATGAGTTATCTGGGAGGGGAACTGGGTCAGGTGTGGGAGGGGGACTTCCTTTCCACAGTACAGTCTTTAGAATTTCTCATTTGTGTACCTTGTGCATGTATTCCTATACCAAACATCTTTTTTCTTATTCAACTCTGCACATTTTCTTTCTTGACCCTCTCAAGGGTACCCTTCTAACTAACCCATAATACCACTATTTACCAATTATGGAGTCATCAACTCTAGTAAGCACTTTTTGTGCACTGCCTTATTAATAATTCCACCCAATAAAGTTATATGTGAGGTAATTATTATTCCCATTTTACAACCGAGGAAACTGAGGCTTAAAGGGGTCAAGTTCTTGGCCCAAAGGCACACAGCTAATCAGTATAGGAACGAGATATGAGCTCTGGTGTGTCTGACTTAGAAGTTCTCACTTCTAACAACTACCCTGCACTGCAGGGGTTCTTGTTGGGGGGGGGGGTTTGCCCCTCCCAGCCTCAGGAGACAGGTGGCCGTGTCAGGAGACATTTTCAGTTGTCACAGCTGGGGGGAGGCGGCAGGTGCTACTACTGGCATCTAGTAGGTGGAGGCCAGGGATGCTGCTAAACATCCTACAATGCACAGGACAGTCCCCTACAACAAAGAATTATCCGGCCCCAGATGTTAACAGTACCCAGGTTAGAAACCTGCACTTCTGAAAAAAGACAGAGAAACCATCTTCTGACCTAAATTCTCCATGTGTCCACCATGTCCACCTCCCAGATTACAGCCAAATACCAAGTAAACCATCAGGTCCTCCTCTCTGCTCAATCAGTAGTATGGCCAACCCCTCATCACATCTGAGTTCCCTCCAGCCCCACCTACTAGTTCATCTTCAGCCAATCAAGGCTGACCAGCCAGCCAGCCAACATCAGCTATTGAGCCCCAGCTGTATGGCAGGAAATGAAGGCCAGAGTAGAACTGCCCCATAAGGCTTCCAAGGAGCAGCTGGTGGATTCAAACTGCCAACCTTTTGGTTAGTAGCCAAGCTCTTAACCACTGAGCCACTAGGGCTCCAGGAAACGAACTACACGGTGGGAATACAAGGATAAGTAAGACCCTGCCCCTGCATCAAGATGCTGATGGTCTCGCAGAGAGAGACAAGGAAACCTATGATTACAATATGAGGGTCGAAGAGGAGCTCCCAACTCAGCCAGGGTGGTGGGGGGAGGGGCTGGGTAGGTGCTACATGACAGCACTTTTGCTCTTAGGACTGTCCTTATTGTAGTCCTGCCTTGGTTTTCTATTCCAAATATAATGACAACAGCTTCCATGTGTTCAGTGCTTACTGTGTACCCAGGACTGTGTTAGGCACTTTACAGATATTATCTCATTAAATCCTTCCCAAGGCAACTGAGCTTGAAGGAATACACAGGCAGAGGGAATCCTTCCTTTCCCAAAGGATCCTTCACCAGACCTTCCAGGGTGTGGTCTCTGAGAATCCAGAGACTGATGATTTTCATTAGAAAGCCTGATGAACTCTTGAGAAGTAGGGTGGGCGCAGAGCAGTCCTCAATCCTTGAGGTACAACCAGGATACATTAAGTACCTGCCTCAGGGACGCAAAGGTAACCTGGCTTCTGCGTGGGTTTAGGCCTTCGTAATATTGCAATAACCTCCTAACTGGCATCTCTGGCTGCAAACCATTTTGCACCTTGCAGCAGGAGGTAACATTTTATAAATGCTTACTACACAGCTGTTGTTGTGTGCCATCAACTCGATTCCAACTCACAGCGACCCTATAGGACAGAGCAGAACTGCCCCACAGGGTTTCCTAGGCACTCTTTATGGGAGCAGATCACCAGGTCTTTTCTCCCACGAAGCCACTGGTGGGTTCGAACTACCAACCTTCGGTTAACAGCTGAGCACTTAGCCATTGCGCCACCAAGGCTCCTTCTACACAGCAGACACTGTGAATTACATACCTGGTTTCATTTAACTCTCAAACATTTCTGAAGTAGATATTGTTATCCCTACTTTACGGATGATGAAACCGAGGCTCAATGAGGAAGTGACCCCCAGGACATAGAGACTCAGTAAACAGAGGTACAGGGATTCACACCTGACTCCAGAGCCCTTGATGCTGCCTCTGAGTGGACCTTTACAGTTAGCAATGCAAAACAACAATCTGATCATGCCCTTCACTCTCAATCTTCACCACCTCAGACAAGGCTGCTACCATCAGTCACCTCCTCCTGTGCACCCACGCATGTTTGAGCAGCCCTGCGAGAGAAAATTCTTTCTCTATGGAATTTCTCACACTGTACTGTGGTTATCCACTCAGCTAAGAGCTCCTTGCTCCCTGGGAGCCCATCTTACTCATCTCCACGTACCCAGCACCTAGCACAGTGTCTGCTACTCACTGGCACAGGAGACGCTGAACGCATAAACAAGACTGGACCCCCCTGGGCCCAAGCAACACAAACCTACCTGAAGCCAGAGCAGCCTGCCGTGGGGAGGTAAAAGCCTGGTAAGTAGGCCTAGCCCAGTTTCATCAATTAATTTAGTGGGCTTCCCTTCAGGCTGGGACCAAGCTCCAAAGTGAATAACCAAGTCATAGTTGAGAATAGCACACTTTCCCTTGGAAAATCCTTTAGGAGAATGTCACACTGGACACCTCGTCTCTCAGCCAGCTTTTCCCCAGCCTTAGAATAGTCCTAATTCCTCTTTAGTTATGCACTGGATGCAGGAGCTGGCTTATGCTTGGGGGCCATATTGTAACAAAATGTCTTTAAACACTAGAATTTTAAAAGGAATGGACATGAGCTCCCTGTTCTGTCTTTCTCCTTCTTCCAGATGAAGTATATACACAATGGCAGCCAGCTTAGACCATGCAATAGACGCCTAGGTTTGAGCAAGAAGAGCCACATGATCAAAGGAACCCTGTTCCTGGCTGACCTCAGAGAACAGAGGTAGCTGTCCTACCAGCTCTGGACTGCATACTTCCAGACTGTTAAGGGGGAGACGAAAAAATTCTATTTTGTTTCAGACACTATGTTTGGGATCATTTTGTTGGAGCATTTCAGATTGTACCTATTAAAACAAGGTGTGAGCATTGTCTAATGATTAACCAACTCCGGTATTTGTTGGTAAAACAATAATACTAATATCAACAACTTCCCAAACAAACTAACTTGTTAGTTGCTGGCAAGTTGATTCCAACTCATGGCAGCCCCATGTGTGCAGAGTAGAACTGTGCTCCATAGGGTTTTCAAGGCTGTGACCTTTCAGAAGCAGACTGCCAGGTCTGTCTTCCAAGGCATCTCTGTGTGGGTTCGAACCACCAACCTTTTGGCTAGTAGTCAAACACTTAACTGTTTGTGCCACCATATTTCTACTTTTCTCCCTTTTTCTTCCCCTACTCTAGGCAAGTGTTCCCACAAAAAAAGCTATCTTGAAAGATGATTTGAATCATGTTGAGCCTAGAGAAAAAGGACAGACAAACTGATCGCTGCCCCCCATACCCCCACAGCAAGCTCATTTCATCTTGAGTATTATGGACATACCTCAGATTTCCAAACAGCCCAGACTACTCTTTTTTGACAGTCTGTCTGTGTAAACTCCAGGTTGGCTCCCCTCCTCCAGCTCATTACCTGAATCAAAGATACCCAAGTGAGAAATCTGATGAGAACCCTACGAGTTGCTCTTTTATTCATTCACCAAACACAGGCAACTGCAGGGCATGACAGAGCCTGGCACAAAGCCAGTGCTCAATAAATGTTAAATGTTATCATCTTGGCCTGCTATATGCCAGACACTGTGCTGGACACCTGGGACGCAAAGATGAATAAGCTCAGTCCCAGTCCCCATGCTCAGAGAACTCCTGCTCAATAAAACACACAATATAACATTGATAAGCAAAAAGCACCAATGCTGTGCCCAAGTATTACTGTAGCACTAGCATTCCTCTGGGACATCCTGGACACTTTGCTTCTCATTTCATACTGTCATCCTAGGTGAGTGCATCCCCTCGCATGACTTTAGTGACTTTTGATGGACAACTGCTAGATTCAGCTCCACTTGAATGTTTTCAGGCACCTTAATTTCAACATGTTCAAAACTGAACTTATCTTCCCTCCTCAAACCTGCTCCCCGTCTTCAGTGTTCCCTATCCCACTAAGCAGCATCACCATCCACCAGTCAAAACCTTGGGGTCACTCTTGACTCCTTTCTGCCCTAACTCCTTCCACTGAGGCAATCACCAAGTTTTGTCAATTTCACTTCCAAAACATCTCTCCCTGCCCTCTGCCTCTACCCTAACTCAAGGCTACCCTCACGTCTCACCTGAATTATTCTAGTTAACGTATTAACTAGCCCCCAGACCCACTCCCTTTAATCTAGTCTTCACATAGCTACAGTGACATTTCTAATTCACAAATCTGATCGTTAAATGGCCTCCCATTAACCTAAAATTTAGAGTCCTTGACTAGGTTCATATGGCCCCGTAGGACCACACGACAGTCTGCTTCTTCAGTCTTTCATCTTTCTTTCTCTCTCTAGGCAGGGAACTTATTCCAATTATTAGACTGGTCCCTGAGCTTTCTCACAAGCTACATCTTCAACTCTCCCCTTTTCCTGACTCCACCCTACTAAACATCCTTCAGGTTTCAGCTTCCTGGAGACAGATGCCTCCCTGGATTCACTTAGACCAAGTGAGGTGCCCCTACTCTGTGCTCCCAGAGCAAGGGGAGCTTGTCTTCCATCATAGCAGTATCAGAACTGCCTATTCATCTGTATGGCTTCCACATGAGTCTCTGAGCTCTGGGTGATGATAATAATATGAACAATCACAGCAACAAACACTATACAACACTCACTTTCTGCCAGGAAGTGTTCTGAACACTTTACACCTACTATCTCATTTAATCTTTATAACAACCTTAGAAGGCAGATTTTACTATCATCTCTGCTTTAAGGATGAGGAAACCGAGGAAAAGAGAGAGAACATAATGTGTCTAAGGACACAGCACGGAGTCGGGATTCAAACCTCGGCAGCCTGGTTCCACAATTCACACTTCGAACCACTACTCTGGGATCAAGTCTGTCTGGGTCACCTGCTGTATTCTCAGAACCTATCAGGTGCTTGAACCACCGTCTGTGGAACGACTGAATGAACGAAATAATTTTATATAGGGATAGTGTCTGCCTCCTACTCTGCCAGCACCTCCTAGGCGCTCCCAGACCTGTACCCTCTGGCCAGGGTCGGCAGATGAGAGCTGCCCCAGCACCTCGCCAACTCGCGGCCGCAGAACGCCCACCCGCCGCGGCGCGCGGGGTCAAGGGGCGGTGACAGCCGGGCGGGGGCGGAGATGCTACCAGCTGGGGAGTCATCCAGCCTGGGAGGCGACTCGCGCCCCCAGGCCGGGACAGCCGGTCTGCCCGCCCACTCCCCACCCGCCCTCCCAGCGGCACCCCCCGCCCTGCTGTCCCGCGCCCTCCTGTCCTGTTCCCTCAGTCCAGGTCCCGTCCCATTCCACTTCCCTCCCCTCCCCCACACAACCGTCCCCGGCCTCCCGTCGCGCCCCATCCCCCAGTGCCTCTGTCCCGACTCCCCAGACTCCCCCGAGCCGGGGCGCTTGCCGTCCCTCACCTGCCATGTCCCGGACCCCACCGCAGAGGGAGGTGCATCACGGCCGCGAGAAGGCCGGGGACGGCACTTCAGAGCAGACAAAGGGCGCCGCCATGTTAGAGTCGGGCGGAATCGACCTCGCTGGCTTCCCGGCTGCAACTTCCGGCGCATGCGCAGCGCCCACGCTAGCTGCGCGGCTGCGGACATGCGCACGCGCCTAAGTATCCAGAAGTTCTACCTTACGGTAGAGTACTTCTGCGCTTGGAACTGTCCTCATTGTATTTTTTCCTCGGTTTTGTGTTCCGAATATAACAACCGATTCCATATGTTCGTCGCTTGTTGTGTACCAGGCACTGTGTTAAGCGCTTTACATGTATTATCTCATTAAATCTTCACACCAACCATACCCGTTACCGTCGAGTCGGTTCCGACTCGTGCCGACTCTATAGGACAGTAAAACTGCCCCAATAGGGTTTCCAAGGAGCGGCTGATGGATTCAAACTGCCAACCTTTTGGTTAGCAGCCAAGCTCTTAACCACTGGGCCACCAGGGCTCTGCACACCAACCATGGGATGGTATTATTCTCCCCATTTTGAAGAAGGGAAAATGAGGCTCAGAAAGGACAAATGAATAGCAGATTGTCACGTATCTTGTTAAGTGGTAGTGGAAGGAGATGTGAACCCAGTTGTGGTTCCAAAGTTGATCTTTTTGCCACTGTAGGTCCCCAATTTTGCTTTTGGACTTTCTGAACCAACCGTCACGCCCTTCCCTATTTAGACAGGTCAGGATTAGCGTGGGTGTCTGAAAACAAATTACCTGCAGACTTGAACCAGTCCTTCTCAGCCGATCTTTCCACGTTCTCAGTACCTCTAGGCCATTGATTTCTCTATTTCCTCACCAAACGCAGCTAAACCCACTGCCGTGGAGTCGATTCTGACTCGGCCAGTAGAACTGCAGAGCAGAACTGCCCTATAGGGTTTCCAAGGCTGTAAATCATTACAGAAGCAGACTGCCACATCTTTCTTAGGAGGAGCGGCTGGTGGGTTCCAACCACTAACATTTTGGTTAGCAGCCGAGCACTTTAACCACTGTGCCACCAGGGCTCCTTTACTTCCTCAGAGTACAGGCTTCTTCCTTTTTCATTTCTGATCCTGTTTATTTTCTATGATCCATAATTTTAACAATGCTCTGTCAACATCCTAAACTCCCTTGCACCCCTGTCTCTGTCACATGGATCTGATAAGAATCCTAACTCTGAATTAATTCAACTGTGCCTTTTATCTGCCTGCACCCAAATAGCCAAGCACAGCTGGAGAAAAGTACATAATGGGGCAGGCTGTTCCCTATAAATTCATGACCACAGACCTTAAGTGGGACTTCAACAAATGTCAGTCTGGCCTACTCACTACTTCTTCACGGTGACTAGAGAAACTAAAAAGCTGGGGGAGAATAATAGGTGTTATGGATTGAATTATGTCCCCCCAAAATATGTGTTGTAAATCCTAGCCTCTACATCAGTGGTTATAATCCCATTTGGGAATGGGTTGTCTTTGTCATGTTAATGAGGCAGGATTAGTGTAGGGTATATCTGGAGTCAATCTCTTTGGAGATATAAAAAGAGATTAAATAAGTCAGCAGAGAGAGGGATGGGGTAAGATAGATGCCAAGACACGTGGAGATCGCCAAGCAACCAGGAAGCTGAAGCTCAAGAGTCAAGGACCTTCCTCCAGAGCCTTTAGACAGAGAAAGCCTTCCCCTACAGCTGGCCGGAGCCTCTGAATTCAGATTTCTAGCCTCCTGGACTGTGAGAAAATAAATTTCTGTTTGTTAAAGCCATCCACTTGTGGTATTTCTGTTATAGCAGTACTAGATAACTAAGACAATAGCAAATCTCATAGAAACCCGAGTCTTCCCGATACTAAGCATACAAATCTCTCTCTGTGTCCATCTGTGTTGGATGTGGTCAATCAGGACTCAGCATCTATTTCTTCCATAAATTACAAAACTAAAATTTCATTTCCCAGACTTGACTGCAGTTAGATCCCAGATATGGATGGGTTCTGACAGTTAGTGAGATCTGGAAGGTGGAAGGGAGGCAGTGGCCATTGTCCTACAGCTTTTGGATGATTTCTGCAGGCAAGCAGTCACGCAGATGTGGGAGTTTGCGGCACTGCTTGGTGGCCATTCTCCAGCTTCATGAGTGTCCAGAAGCATCTTCGTAGTGGTAGCCAAACTCAGCATTCCAGTTCCCTGGAACCAGCTTCTAGTCCCAAATTCTAGATCCATGAATCTTATCTGTGATGATGTGTTCTTGAATGCAATAATTCCAGTGGTGGCCTCTTGATTCTCCATCTTCCTGATTGTGGCAGAAGTAATAGCTCCCAATTGGTGAGTTCTATAGTGTTCTAGGAGCCATTCCTGGAGACCCAGTCTAGAGACTATTCCTTCAGCCCCTCCAGAAATTTATAAACAATTCTCTGTATTAAATCCCTCTCTGCTTAAAAGAATTCGGAGACAAATGATGACATGTTCTGTACCTTGACTGTATCAATGTTAATATCCTGGTTGTGATATGTACTGTAGTTTTGCCATATGTTACCACTGGGGAAAACTGGGGAAAAGACACATAGGCTCTGCTTATATCATTTGTTATAATTGCGTGTGACTGTACAATGATCTCAAAATAAAGTTTAATTTTAAAAAAGCCTAGTGAGGTTTCTATTTCCTATACTAAATCACAAATGAGACAGATTTAGTACCAGGGAGGCTGCAGGCACCTCATCCTCAAGGGTGGAAATCTGGGAATTGGATTTGAAGATGATGAGGATCAAGTTACCATTGATAATCTATTTCATACAGAGGAAAAATAGTTACATAAATTACCACTTATCACAACAAGTATGTATACCTGGGGAAATTTGCCTAATGAAAGCAAGACTTCAGTAGATGGAGTGGTTGTTGTAATTGATCATTCTGGTAGGACTATAAGGATTGAATAACGAGCCCTGTGGTGCAACGGTTAAGCACTCAGCTGCTAACCAAAAGGCCGACTGTTCAAATCCACCCAGTGGCTCAGGGGGAGAAAGACCTGGCAATCTGCTTCCATAAAGATTACAGCCAAGAAAACCCCATGGAGCAGTTCTACTTCGTCACATGGGGTCGCTATGAGTTTAAATTGATTTGATGGCACCCAACACCAAAACGACTGAGGGGGTGCTGCTATTTATAATTGCACCGGAGATATTAAAAAAGAAAGGTTTAAGGTTTAAATTCTCAGCTCAAGACAGGGTCAGAGGACTGAGGACCATTCCTGGCTACTCTAAAAAATGTTTCTAAATCTTTTGTAGCAACAGACTCCTGTAGCTGAACATTGGGCAGAGCTGATCCTGTGGGTTGATGAATTGCACCTGGCCAGGTCTCTAATGTGAAAGTTGGTGCATTGAATGGGAACAAATGGCACTTAGGAATTGAAATGAAATAATACCCTGACCCCAAGATCCACTTTAGTTCCCTTTGACAATAGAAACAGCCCCTCCTCCCATCTGATGAGACTGATCCTGCTTTCCTTGGAGAAAGGTAATGACCACACCTGAGAAAGTCATTTTGCAAAGAAATACGAATTACTCTCAGTGATCACCCTACCACCCTTCATTCACCTCCAGATCAGTAAGGAGAGTCAGATTCCAGAATGCCTCAGGGGACAAGCACACAGTTTGACCAAGGAGGCTTGCACACTCACCCCCCAAAAATGTAAGCCTTAGCTACTTAGATGGGCTGAAATATAGGGAGTAAGGGCCGAACTGGATTTTATGGGTGGTAGGTCAGGGAGCACTGGTAGCACAGTGGTTAAGAGCTCAGGCTGCTAACCAAAAAGTCGGCAGTTCGAATTCACCAGCCGCTCCTTGGAAACCCTATGGGGCAGTCCTACTGTGATCCATAGGGTTGCTACTTCCAACCTGATGACGGCATACAGCAACAACAACGACAGATCAGGGAAGGGGCCCTGGTGGCACAGTGGTTAAGAGTTCGGCTGCTAACCAAAAGTTCGGCAATTCGAATCCACGAGCTGCTCCTTGGGAACTCTATGGGGCAGTTCTACTCTGTCCTGTAGGGTCGCTATGAGTTGGAATCGACTCGATGGCAACGGGTTTGTATTTTGTTTTTTAGGTCAGGGAAGAAGGAACATAACATTAGACTGGGCTAAATTTATCAATGTAAGTGCATGTAACACAGATTTTAATGTTCCAGCTCAAACAGCTGGGAAGGGTTCTGACAGTTAACTCAGTTCGTTGATTGAAATATGGACTGACCTAATAGTGGTCTTCATTAAATGAAGTCAAGATGCCAGAAACTTCTTGGAATAATATAGAGGACAGTGTTATGGATTGAACTGTGCCCCCAAAAAATACATGTTGTAAATCCTAACCTCTATGCCTGTGGTTATAATCCCATTTGGGAATGGGTTGTGTTTGTTATGTTAATGAGGCAGGATTAGTGTAAGGTATATCTTGAGTCAATCTTTTTTTTTTTTTTAATTGTACTTCAGGTGAAGGCTTACAGAACAAATAGTTTCTCATGGAACAGTAGTACACATATTGTTTTATGACATTGGTTAACAACCCCACAACATGTCAACCCTTTAACTTCTCAACCTTTTCTTTTGGTGAAAATATACATAGCCAAAGATACACCGTTTCAAAAATTTCTACATGCACAGTTCAGTGACATTGACTATGCTCTTCCAATTGTGCTGTTATTCTCACTTAAGATGAAGGCTTATAGAACAAAATAGTTTCTCATTTAACAGTTAGTACATATGTTGCCCTATGACAATGGTTAACAATCTCACAACACATCAACAATATCCTTACTCAACCTTGGGTTCCCTATCACCAGCTTCCTTGTCCCCTTCTGCCTTCTGGCCCTTGTCACTGGACTCCTGTACCTCGTTAGTCTCTTTTGGTTTTACGGGGCAGTCCACTCACAGGCTGAACGGTGAACCACGGAGATAACTTCACCACTGAGCTAAAAGGGTGTCTGGGGGCCATACTCTCGGGGTTTCTCCAGTCTCCTTTAGGCCAGTAAATCTGGTCTTTTTTTTGTGAGTTAGAATTATGTTCTGCATCCTTCTCCAGCTCT